GTTGGTGAAACTAACAAAAATCTGAAAATACGATTTATCAAACACATAAAAGGACCATAACTTAGCCATGAAATAAATTAGGGTTTGAAAAACAAAAAAACTTTGTCATACTTAATATTTACTGAAAATTCCAGTATAAAACTACATCAACATTACGTACAGACGTTTCGTTTTACATTGTTACGATTCACAGCTTTGACAGCAAAGTAGACCAATACGATTAATTCTTCATTATTACATTGACTCTTGCAACACAATTACAACAACTTTTATTTTATATTCCAAGACAACACCTTTGAAGCTTTTCGTGAATATTCGAAACAAACTAATAAGGCCTGTTTAGGCCTACTTCAGTTTCTTGTGTTATCAAGCCTATAGCAGTTTTTACTTTTGAATGTGTGTCCCCCTCTGAGACAACGGTAAGTTTCTGTATTTACAACGCTAAAATCAGTGGTTCGATTCCCCTCGATGGACACAGCAGATAGCGGCCCGGCATGTCTAGGTGGTTAGGGCGCTCGACTCGCAATCTGCGGGTTCGAATCCCCCCATCACACCAAACATGCTCGCCCTTTCAGCCGTGGGACGTTATAATTTGACAGTCAATCCCACTATTCGTTGATAAAAGAGTAGCTCAAGAGTTGGCGGTGGGTGGTGATGACTAGCTGCCTTCCCTCTAGTCTTACACTGCTAACTTAGGGACGGCTAGCGCAGATAGCCCTCGTGTAGCTTTGCGCGAAATTCATAACAAACAGACAGAAGATAGCCCGATGTGGCTTTGCTATAAGAAAAACACACACTTTTGTGTATGTATCTTTGATATTTTTATTTTAAACATAATTTTTTCAAAGGTTACTAAAAGGTTCTCCACACAAATAAAGATCTTGAATTAGGCTTAGGTTTTATAAGGAACTGCGCTAGAGGAGACAAAACCTTTCATGATTCGATATGATTACCTTCACTACTCCATCTTCGTCACTCTAGGTTTCAATTTATGCTTCTATTTTAACAGCTACGATTTTACGTGTGTTTGCAACAGGAATCATTCTGTAAATCAACTGTGTTCTTACTTCTGTAGTTGTGCTAAGGAAGCTGGTGAGCTGGGTTTGAATCCATGCGATACCGCAAAAGTATTCTTCGCACTTTAAGCTCTGGGTGCGTAGAAGAGTGGCAGTTAATTCCTTAGCGTGGACAGTAGGCGGTAAAGTGCAGCTGATTGACTGCCTCTTATTGGGTCTGTAGTTCATAATCAGGGACGGTGGGTGGTGGCCTTATCACTTTTGGCATAAATACAAAAATACAGATCGTCTTCTGAACATATACGATCGCTTGAAAAAAACAAAAACAATCACCATAATAAGTTAATGTGTTTTAATGTCGCTTCAAAGAAGAGCGAAAGAGGGCAGATTCGTAACGTATAATCCAGGTTAAGATTATAGTTTATTTGTTATTAAGAGCAAAGCTACACAATGGGCTATCTGTGTTCTGCCAACCACGATTATCAAAACCCGATTTCTTTGCGTTATAAACCCTCAGATTTTCCGCTGAGCCACCGGAGGATAAGAAATATCATTTCATTGAACCAATAAGCTTCAGTAAGGTGATTAACGTGCTGGACTGCAGGATCTGAGGTTCCTAGGTTCGAGTCCCGTTATCGTATAAAACATTAAGAAATCACGCTCCGTATTGTGGGGCCGTGGTTGGGTTATAAAAATGACAGTCAAATCATACTATTTGGTCTGACAAGAGTAAGCGGTGAGAGTTGACGGTGGGTGATGTTGTCTAGCTACCTTCCTTATAGTCTATCAGTTCGAAATGAGGCTATAACAAATAGTCCTTGTGTAACTTTAGATGAAATTAAAAATAATAATAACGACTAATTAAAGCTTACCCTCTAAGAATCTTTCACCTCGAAATCTTAAACCTTCCGTGTAACAAATCTTGAGCATATTCGTCCTGTGATATTTAGACAATTAACGATAATAATAAAACACGAGAAAGATGCAGTGTTACTGATATCTAAAAAAAAGGCTCCATAAAAGGATGTACTATGTTATCAACTATCAATAAATGTACTGTCCTACCTTCATACTGTCCGAAGTGTGTGTGTGTGTGTGCATCTTGTTTTAGTACAAAGCTACCCAATGGGATATCTACAGTCTGTCCACCACGGGGGGGATCGAATCCTGTATTTTAGAGTTGTAGGTCTGACCTACCAGGAGACAGAAAGGAAAATATTTGTGTTGCTAAGTGCTGCGCATGAGCAATCAGATATTGGCAACAATACAACAGCCAAAAAGCCGTTAGTGGTCAGAGATTACAACTATACCAATGGAGAGTAGACACTACTGATAAATCGCTAAGAAACTACTCAACAATACTAAAGAGGAGTAGACACTGCTGACCAAACGTTAATAGCCTATTCAACTGAACCGAAGGATAAAATAGTGACCAAGTACTCTTTTTCTACAACATGTTAAATCTATACTACCTAAATACTTTGGTTTTGTGGACTAAAGACCAACTGGACTAAAGAGAGGTCACATTAGAAACACTTTCATCCTGCAAGATATTAGAGAAAAAAACTATCTGAAGAAAACACAAGAAAATGGGGACACCGACAACAAAACCAGACTAGCAATATAAGATAACGTAGCTGTTGTAGAATCAAGAAACAGACAAAAAAAACGCACCTTCTGGTCTAAAAAAAACAATCCATACTCGTGTATGGAATCACATTATGCTAATGTAATATTAGATTAACAAACAATGATTTATAAGCCTAATGAAATGATTGTATTTTGAGGAACATACTACATGTTTCGACAGACGATGATACAACAATGCTATTATTAGTAATCCGGGATAAATTGTAACAGTTATAAAGACTGAAGAGGGTTTTTTTTTTTAGTTGTTATCGACGTGTGTATATTTTTCCAGTTTTAATACTGTTTCATCTTGTAATTTTTAAGAGGTAAGTTCAAAGATTTATAATCTTAAATATTATTGAACAAAATGTTAAGCATCAATATGCAAAAACCAAAGCTTATTTTGAAACAATAAATAGTGCAACTTCGCATATGTAAATACATAGATCCCCTGTAGACGTCAACGATAGCATAGGGTATTAATAACAAAAAGAACCATAATTTGAGGAGGAAGGATTAAGACTTGTACTTGGAAACCGGAAAGTTGGATTTAAAAATTGGATTCAACATATTACTGCTTCTATGCGTTTTAAAAACATTATTCGCCACAATAAATTCTCTTCTTGACATTTGTGGAAATTACCATAATGCTCTTTCTTATCCACTATTTATATCTGAGAAAGCATAATCCAGTAAAGCGGAACCACACTGTCAGCTTAGTGCATTAATTTTTTTGTTGTTTTTCTTGTTTACAAAAGATTTATAGTGACATGTACTTTCGGAAGAGCGCAACTAACTTCAGGCTGTAAGGCCCTGGATTATGGAACAGATGTTCTGTAGTTCAAGTAAATGACAGAACATTCTCCAAATAAGATACTTTCTTCACCCATATTTGTTCTTCTTGGTTATCGAGTAGAATCGCGTAACATCGAAACTGGTATAACAGTCAATAATATAATCTATTGTGCTAAAACGAGAATAAATTAAGGATGAAAATTATTATAATACCATCAGAAAATTAGAGAATAATATACGCTATCTTAATCTTATAATAAAAAAAAGCCAACTGATAAAACAACTTGTATGCTGTTAACATCGCGATATCTAGGTTAAGACGAAATAAATCAATTATCCAAGCTCTATTTTAACGGTCAATTAAGTTTAAAATGTGTTTTTTACTCCCTAAGTTAAGTGGAAATAAATCAATTATCCAAGCTCTATTTTAATGTTCAATCAAGTTTAAAATGTGTTTTTACTCCCTAAGTTAAGTGGAAATAAATCAATTATCCAAGCTCTATTTTAATAGTCAATTAAGTTTAAAATGTGTTTTTACTCCCTAAGTTAAGTGGAAATAAATCAATTATCCAAGCTCTATTTTAATAGTCAATTAAGTTTAAAATGTGTTTTTACTCCCTATATTCTTCTAGTAATATTTAAGCTAGAACATTTATTTATTTTTATTGTTTCATAATTCTTAAGAGAAATGGACCCAGCTTTTCTGTTTTCAAATTAAATATATACTGTTATGTAAGCAATTAGATGATTTTTCAACTGTGGAGTTGGTTGTTTTATTTTAACTGACTTCCCTCAGCGAGTCAACGGTAATACGCTTAAAGACTTATAACGCTAAAATCCGAGGTTCGATTTCCCGTGGTGGACAGAGAGCAAATAGCTCTGCAGAAACTCTGCAATAAGTCTGAAGGTTTATAACGTTAGAAATCTGTTTTCGATACCCGCGGTGGGCGCAATACGGATAGCCCATTGTGTAGCTCTCTGCTTAACAATAAACAAACAAATAGTCTTATCCGACATCTAGTGGGGATTACAAAGAACTAGCGTATAGCCAGTCAAAAATGTCGGGGCAAGTACTACCACCCTCACCTTATTGTATACCCTAACCTCACATTTCATAGCTAACTGAAATAAATAAATTTTGCGAATTCAAGCACGATCAAGAAAAAAGCAGAATAGTGCAGTCGAGGCAGTCAAACGTCGGTAAATTCCTTTGTGAGCCAATCAAAATTAAGGTCATTCATGAAATGAATTCGTGGTGTATTCACAGTATAATTATTGGTAAAAATCAGTTAGATTAACAACTTCTAATATACAGAGAAGTTAAGTTCCAACAATGGCTTTTATGTTATGTCGCTTAGCAACAAAAGTATATCTTAATATTATTGTTAGTCTATGTACTGAAAGTATAAAATGAAATGTATAGACAACAGAACTGGAAAACTATTTGTTGATTTCTTAATTTAGAGTCTTCGCTGATTAAAGAGGTTTGTTTTTATTTAAAATGTTGGTGATATAACAGAAAATAGCTTAATTTAGAAACGACTTAAATTTAAAATTGAATCGACATTTTTACTACGATGATAAATTTTATGCACTTGGCTCTAGGCTGGGTTATCCCACATTACGTCTTTACTTAGGCTTATTATACCAACACTCACTACACTTATAAGGCTTCACGGCTCACACACATACACCCTCACAGGTCCCTTGCATCCCCGTCACTAAAATCGTAATGGGCAGACAGTAATCGAACTATTCTATCTGGATAAATACATTTTTGTCTTTTAGGACTCCTCGTATTTTGAGAAACCAAGCGTGACGTGACGTGGCACACAATGTCTTTTAAATAGGTCAGATTCGTTTATTTCCTAAATGTTAAAAAACTATGTTTTTATTTCTTTTTGTCGCTTTAATATCAGTTTTACATTTTTTGTATGAAAAAGAAAAACGTACACACGTGCGTATTGCGTACATAGGGCTATTTTCTTCTTTAACTACGGATGTTTCACGTATATTACACAAAAATATTATTGAAATTTATGTATAGAGAAACATTGTTTGGCACGATACTTCCTTTTACTACGACAAGACACAACTATATATACAATCTATATAATTGTGCACACAAGGAATATACAGTATAACTAATGGTAAAATACATTTTCGCAACATCAACATTAATTTGTAAATACTTACTCTAAACCTATTTACTAAAACAGAATTCACAAAATAATAATAATACGCCGCCAGTATTATTATATAGATTATCTTGAGGTTATGGATCATTCACGTTATCTTTTACTTCATAAAGCCTGCGCGTTCTCCGAGCATTTGAGCAAAGAAACAAACTAACAAGTGCACGTGGGAATAGTTTACCAGCTCGACCAATCAACGAGACCCAACTTCACAGCTATCCATCCTCTAGTGAACAGCTAAGCCTATTACATAAAATTCAACCAACAAAATTATGAAACATATATATATATATATAATTACACACTTTTCAACACATTAGAGTTTTACAATTATTGAGTTAATTAAACGATCGTATCTCTTCACAGCTTTAATCCACTTTGTTTCCAATATTTTAAGCTTTTAACTCCATCTCTTCATTAAGCATTTATGCAAAATTACTTGCATCTCCGTATTTTCCGTGGTTTATTGATTTTTGAACAAGTTTTTGATTTGATGGTTCTCGACCTCATTTCAGGTCCGTGTTTTTTGTGGTTACTGATTAAGAAACGTTTCTGATTTGATGGTTCTCGACCTCATTTCAGGTCCGTGTTTTTTGTGGTTACTGATTAAGCAACGTTTCTGATTTGATGGTTCTCGACCTCATTTCAGGTCTGTGTTTTTCGTGATTACTGATTAAACAAGTTTTTGATTTGATGGTTCTCGACCTAATTTCAGGTCTGTGTTTTTCGTGGTTACTGATTAAGTAAGTTTCTGATTTGATGGTTCTCGACCTCATTTCAGGTCTGTGTTTTTCGTGATTACTGATGAAACAAGTTCTTGATTTGATGGTTCTCGACGTAATTTCAGGTCTGTGTTTTTCGTGATTACTGATTAAACAAGTTTCTGATTTGATGGTTCTCGACCTAATTTCAGGTCTGTGTTTTTCGTGGTTACTGATTAAACAAGTTTCTGATTTGATGGTTCTCGACCTAATTTCAGGTCTGTGTTTTTCGTGGTTACTGATTAAACGACGTTTCTGATTCGGTGGTTCTTTTCCTTATTTCGGCTCCATATTTTTGCTTATTATTGATTTTAACCCACTATGTTTTGTTTGTTTTTTCTTTGATGGTTCTCACAAAGAAGACTGATCAAAACGAGGGACAGCAAGTCTCACGTGGAGCTTGTCATTCTTGACCTCTGTCTGAGGTCGAATTTCTTTTCTGTGATGTCTGCTGTTCTCGTTTAAGAGCCTTTTATTTAACATTTGTGAGTCTGTGCCAGTGAGTTGTCGGAACGAGCGCGAGTCCCTGATAAACGGGTCATTTGGGACTAAGTTAGTCAGACTGTTTTGATCCTTAACTAAGTTAGTCAGACTGTTTTGATCCTTATTCACGTCTGGCTGCAACCGTTCAAAGCGCTGAGCACAGCGACTTGCTGAGCTTATATCATCAAGAAAAGTCACTTCCGGGTCTTCTTTCTTTTTACATCCCAATACTCTCCGGAAGGCCGATTTAAACTCCCTGTTCAAAAAGGCATAAATACAAGGATTAAAGGATGAGTTGAAATATCCGAGCCAAGTGATGGCGCTGCGCCATTCATACTCCAAATAACACTGTTCGCAGTAAGCCAGAATAACGTACATGAGGAAGAAAGGAAGCCAACAAATACAAAACACACCCATCACGATTCCCAAAGTTCGAATGGCCTTTGTATCGGTCAGCAACTGGCGAGACTGACGTCGAAGACTCCGCTTTACATGGTGGTCAGCACCTTCCAAAGACATCTCTATCTGTCGAATTTCTCTTGCCTGCCTTTCGGCAACTAGAAGAATACGAAAATAAACATAAAACATTACTGGTAGCGGAAGGTAGAATGACGTCACAGAAGAAATCACCGCATATACTCTGTTGACATTCAAAGAACATTCGCTGCTTTCGTCAAAGATGGAAACTGGGTCCTCGCTATACCAACCCATGAAGATCGGGATGAACGATATGGCACAACTGCACAACCAGATGATGCCTATGGCCGTCATGACTCGTTTTTTGGACACGCAGGAGCGGTACCTCAAAGGTTTGGTGATGGCCCAGAAGCGATCCAGAGCGATGACACACAGATGGAGGATGGAAGCCGTACAGCACATAACATCACAGGAGATCCACAAGTGGCAGGCGACGGGTCCGAACCTCCAATGTCTTTCAATGTCATAAACCACCAGAAGAGGCATAACCAACAGCGCCACTGTAATATCTGCGGTTGCCAGACTAGCCAAAAGTAGGTTCGTTACCGATCGAAGTCTTCTAAACCTAAAGACCACCAATATCACCAGAACGTTCCCTACTACAGTCAGGCTGATAATCAATGCACATATAATGGCGCCCAAAATCCTGAGTTCTAAGGATGTTCCCGCTTCGCCAGACTCGAATATGGATCCAGTGGAATTATCAAAACGAGTACTTTTCGAGGAATTGAGCCAAATATCTGAGAAGGCAGCGTTCTCCTCAGAAAGCCAAACATGGTCAGTGTTTCTCAAATCGAAAAATATATCCTCCATTTTCTCAGGATCTCCCAGTATTAATCACTGGAAACAAAAGGTTGGTATATTAAAACTAGACCAATTATGATTTACCAAAGTACTTGTTAAATCAGAATATCATCAACATTAAATAATGGTGGTTTTGTTTCACGGGAGTGTGAATGTTTTGGTTATACTGTCGTAAGATTAGGCTTAGTTATGATACTTGACATATTAGACAACACACACACTGTATGCCTGAATAAATTAACTACACTGAGTCTAAATATTTATTTGTATCCAGATTTTAATCTGGTTTTTCAGCTTCTAAAAGTTTTAAAGATATTAATAATAAATAAAAATATCTTATATCACTTCGAAGCAGTATTTTCTTCAGTTGTCACTGTTGAATCTTAAAAGTTATATATATATAATAAACACCCTCGTTCTCAAGTCCCATAAGTTGAGGGAAAATGTGACTTCTAAAGAAAACTAAATGCTAATGAAATGCGCGTGTTTACAGGGTAAAAAATCTGAAAGTCAGCTCTGAGTTTTAAGGGTTTAGTTTTACATAAAGAACTTCCACGGGTGATTTACTCCTGAAACTATCGCAAATTTCAAACTTTTAAGAAAAAAAAAAGAAGAAAAACTTACCTTTGAGTTTGATTATTATTATTCATCTAAATCTTTGATGAATGGTGTAACTGAAAACCTTCTGACAGCAGACATGGACTTTGTGTTCTCGGTTTCACTAACAGAACTGTATCTTTTCACTGGTAGTTTTCTAACTCGCGCACGAATACGCAGATCTGTTGCACTTGTGACATAATATTCCGAGCAGTCGCATTGCCCCATCTAGTGGCAATGTGAAAAATCAACTATTGATTTAAACTATATGGATGCAACATGGACTTTTTGCTCCTTAAACTGAAGTATTGACAACAGTTACAAGACCTCTATTATACGTTGACAGTGACGACAGCTTGCTGAATCCCAAACTTAATAACCAGAAAGTCAAGCCTGACAGGTTTCCTACATATTTACTGATGAAGATGAAATACAAATTTTCTATATTAATTAAGAGATGTTTTGCTAAAATATCTGAGAAAACAAAGGAAAAATTATGTTTAAACATGAATCTACTCATTCAACTCAGTTCGCTCATATCATATGAAGCAAACAAATGTAGGGCGTTACTTGGATTTAAAAAGTGTGTGTGTGTGTGGGGGGGGATGGTTTTTGTATGATCTGCAAGGATAAATCTTATGGCTTAATCTAAAGCTGTTGAAATGTAAGAGATCATCACCGCGTTAATCAATAAATGAGGGGATATATATCCCCCCCGTACCATGTGTACGTATACGTAATGATTTCGTACTTTAACGGAAAGCAATTAAGTAAATTCACATCAACTAATTTAAACAAGAAGAAATAATTGATGTTAAGACTCCCAAACTTTTGAATAAAGTCGAGGCTAATTTGGAAAACTTAGAACAAAAATACGACTTCTCTGCATCAGGGAAACACAAAAGCAATTATAAATTCTGGAAACTTGTGGAAACGTCATGAATTATTTTTCACTAGTTATTGACAAACTGATTGGTTACTCTTTTTTTTTTTTTATTAAAGAACAAAATATTTATTCTCTAGACAAGTGTACACATTCCATGTCACCACGTCCGGTTATGCTCTGTCTGACGACTGTGCACCTTGACAATATCCCTGCGGCGTAGTTTCCATTGCAAAAGGCTCCTTCATAAGGCTGTCAAAGCTTAAATCACACTTTTCTTTTTCTCTCTCTATAAACGATTCTTAATCGATACACTGTACGAGGATTACGTTTTTTCAGCGCCCGATTGAACAGTCTGATCACTCGAAAAAATCACAGGCGTTGCGTCTAGCGATTTGACCGGTATGTCCTCGTATGGAATAGCATGAATATACATTTTATTCTCCAGATGCTTGAGGTATGAAATGGTTGATTGAATGTGTCGTGGAAGCAACTTGATTACACGTGACTTTTGTCACTTTTCCAAATGGAGATCTTTCTTAGTTATGTTGCATACTGTTGCCTGGGACACATGGATGGCTTTTGCCACTAACCCTTGGGTTCGTCGATTCTTACCTGTTACAAGACACAGCACTTTGTTTACCATGGATGGGGTACGACTTGTTTCGAGGCTTTATACGGAAGGTCCTGGAGCCCTACGTTGATCCATATTCCATTGTTTACCAATGTCATTAAGTTGTCCACGTTTTCGAAATTCTAAATTTCCGGGATGAACACATCATTATGATCTGATTGCATCAACATTTTGCTTCGGAGAAGACTGTTACATACCCTTCTCAAAAGTCTTCTTAATGCCATCACACTACCTATGAATGCCAAACAATGTCAAAATGTAATTCTAATACATATCTTTTCACCGCAACTGTATATCGGCTGTTGTTTTCACGTGATTTGCTGATATTGAAAATCGTTTTAACATAACGTACTTAACCCTATGTATATCTATGTATTTGGTTTGGATACGACTTCGTTGTTATTAGATAACTGTACCTGATGTTTCTAAATTAACTCACCGCATATCATGAATTGATTATTCAGTTCCCATACAATTGCTCTACTTTCTCAGAGGTTGTGAAGGACACATTAGAATAAAGAGAACTGCAATAAATAAAGTAGATTTCAAGTGTTATTTTCTTTGTTGTTATTTAAAAATAGGTAATTGCACACTTCATTTTGGCCCTTAAGATTTGATTATAATCCTTCTTGTACTGAAGAGATGTACTAGAGTAATTTGTTGATTATTGGCTCGAACCCCGAACTTTAGAGTTATGAGCCCTCAGATTTACCGTTGAGATCCCGGGCAGCTACATGCGATAAATGATACAAAAAATGGTATACATATTTTTTTTGGGAGAGTACGCCACCTACCGGTGAATATTGTCATTTTGCTAACTTAAGAACTAAGTAAAATAATGAGTCAGCGAATGACCACTTCCTTGAGATATTGGGAAAAGATCGATATATATATAACATTTATAGATATTCCATGGACGTACATGAGGTTTCATTGATTTATCGAGCACGAGACTGATGTCCACTGAAGCTAAACTATTATGAACGTTGGCTATTGATTAGATTCTCGTCTAGTACAATAATTGATTTATTTATGTGTATAAAAATATATATATTTTAACCGTCCATATAGTAGCAGCTGCCAACTATCAATTGATTTGTTTGAGACTAAGATTACTTCAAGTTATCGATTTATTTGTTTGTTTGTTTTGAATTTCGCGCAAAGCTACACGAGGGCTATCTGTGCTAGCCGTCCCGAATTTAGCAGTATAAGACTAGAGATAAGGCAGCTTAGTCATTACCATCC